CTTCCACAGTATGTTGGCTAAGCTCATTGGCTAGTTAAAATTGTCTAGCCAATAAGCTTGGCCAACATACTTTCCGGATCACATACTTTCCGGTTTCTAATGTGACGTCCGTTACATTCTGTTGCGTGGAAGCCGCATTATCGCATTGATCGCATTAACATTGTATTGGATGTTTATGCAATCATCATCATGATTTATGAGTTGCGACGCGCGGGGCTTCATGAATATTCCAAGTTACCGATACTACTTGATTGTTGATTTAAACGTCTTGACAAGTCAAGCAAGCCACGACAGTCCGTCAAACTAAGTGGTAACTGATGAATTATCTTCTCTTTAACGACTTCAAAAGGCTCTCGTCCAAGACGCATTCTTCAAACTCGTCACAACCTGAAGGAAACAATCTGCTGTCATCTCTAAGCTGTAAGTGTTTCATCGATCCAAACTACTCCAGAATTTTTAGGAGTTTGGCCGGAAGTCAGAAGTACACAAGGACAGACCGATGCACGCTATCGTCAGCGTGACTCTCGCCCATTACACTCTGTTCACGATCTTCACCACGTGTTGGTACAGATAAGCTCATGTTTGTTTCATCGTGCATTACTCCCCTCATAATCTGAAGCGTTGCAAAACAAAAATTAAGCAAATTAAGGTGGAAACAGTATAAGACCTGATGTATAATATGTGGACAAAAGATAATCGAGAAAACGTGGTCGAAGACAAAGCTCGAATTTGCCGGCATCTCCCATTATTAATTTATTATGATCAATGCAAAACGGTAGGCTTACCTGACGATAATTTCGATTAGAGAACTCTTTTTCTTCGAATGTATTTCGCGGAAATCTCGGTACCGGAAGAACACGAATTTAATCCTTGACAAGAGTTCTTTGGCATTTCTGAGTACTGGAAGAAAGTCGTCTTGTAAAGTCTTCGGAAGCGAAGTAACAAGAGCAGACGACGGACGAAGCAGTGGGACTCCACTTCGCACGTTTCAGCTGTATAAACCCTGTCCACTTTTTCCTTCGAGCTTTTGCCTCGTTTCGATCATCACCGTAAAATGGAATCTTATGCAAGGCAATTCCCTTCTCTGAATTTTATTTGAACAACCCGCGACAACACGTCTGTCAGGCATGTTTATGTCGCCGAAAACTCTTTACATTACTGAAACAACAGTGACATGAACTTCTAGGCTCGATTCACAGCCGCTGTTTCCGAGAGAGCGGCGGAAATCGAGTCTAATGAACTTCGCGCTTCTTGACTTGACGTCACGACCCGTTCTGGAACCCAATGTCTTTTTTGCACTGACTCACGGTCAGCTTCACTGGGCGTGGCCGAAGCGGGAACTTTAAAGCTCGATTTTATGGTGCAAACGCGTCGAAATCCAATTCTTTTTTGGTAGAATTTTGTTGGCCGTACAATCACGTTAATATTAACTCTTTATGTACAACTTAAGGGAGAAGGTAACTCCAAAAAGCTCACTTTTTGGGCTTCGCTTATAGGAAGTAAACGTTCAGCTTTTTCACTCACCGAAGTTTCAGCCTCTGAAGTGCCTGCTATCCTGAAGAAATTCGTCTCGAAAGAAGGGATCTTGAGGGCCGCCATTTTGAAACTGTCTCGGCCGTGTTTATGTGACATCATTCCGACCGACTCGAAATTGGCGGGAAGGAGAAAAACGTGCCGCTGACTTAGCATCCTTCGCAAGGTCAGCAAAATCTATTTTTTTCCAAGCGATTATCCACTTCACTATCTTCAATGCTATCATTTCCTAGTTTCGAGCATGTTTGGCTCAAAATAATATGCATCAAACGCAGCCATAACCCAGAGTGGAATTTAAAAGGCTCTTCGGAAGCCACG